TTGCAAAGATATACATTATTCTCAGATACAGATGTTCAAGAAACATCTGCTCCAACAGACTTGCTTCAGGTCAGACTTCTTTTAAGCTATCACTTGTTTGCAGTCTGTAGCTCTGGGTGAAGTGTTGCAGGCATCATAACTTGAATGTGCTGTGACATAGTACGTGACCCATACTGCATGCCTTTGTTTATATTAATATACTGCAACCAAACCAGACTCTTTTTTTTTTTCTCCTTTAATATAGATTGGGGGGTGCTGCAGTCTTAACGTCTTTTCTGTACGTGACAACAGATTATCTCGAATTCCCTCTGAAATTTCACAAGCCACTGAACTTCATGTCCTAGATGTTGCTGGAAACAGGTAAGAGATTTTTGTATTGTCATGTTCTTTTGCTGAATTTACTTACTTCTTTCTAACAACAAAAGATATTACATGTCTAAGAATGAAGTAACAAAAAAAAAACAGTTAAAACTTTTGTGTTAGCATTACTGCTGAATTTAGCAAAGCAGTCTTCCCCCTTGGCTCAAAGTAGCATAGATTGTGTGTTGTCATGAGCACATTTTTCTGGATTGCTTTGACCCTGAGGAAAAGATGGGATTTAAAAAAAAACCCTCTGGATTTGTATATTTCTGAATTAAAACTGAGAATCTAGGCAATTTGGTAGAGCTTCAGATGAAACTACCAGCCTTAATGTCAAGTAACACTAATACTGAATATCTTATCTTTGAGATACAGTGCAAGTAACAAATAATGCTACTTTGACCTTGTGGCTTCTCATAAATCTTTGTTGATATGCTTCAGACATCACAATGCAAAAAGGAGTGTATTGAAGTATAAACCAGCAAATTAGTTCAGTTGTTTAGTAGGAAGTTAAACAGACCAAAAAAAAAGAAAAAAGAAGAAAAGCAAATGGCATCTCATCTATGCAGTATAATTGTCTTATAGGTACTTGCATATTTCTGTTCTGGCAGTTGTGTATATATAAGGCTTTAGACCAGAAGCAGCTGACTGCCTTCCAGGGCATTTTACTGCAGTAGAAAAAGCTCAGTATTATTTTATCTGTTATTCACAGCTACAGATCGTTATGGTATAAAGTTAAGTTGCAGATTCTTTTTAAAAGAATAGAATAGTTGGAGTTGATGACTACTGCAATACCTTCTATTAGTGGCATTAATGTCAGTCCTGTTTATTCCAACTCAGGGATGTATATTTGAATCAACTTCATGACCATCTCTTAAATTTCCTAGAGATTGTCCTGACTTTTTTACCTTTTCTTTTTTGAACTAGGCTGATGTATCTTCCCCTCTCACTGACTTCCTTAAAGCTGAAGGCTTTGTGGTTGTCTGATAACCAGTCCCAACCTTTGCTGACGTTTCAGACCGACACAGACCCTGAAACAGGAGAAAAGATTTTAACATGTGTATTACTTCCTCAAATGCCTTCTGAGCCTGGTTGCCAAGGTAAGTGCCTAGAGTCAGTTTTTCATGACGTATAGAAGTACTTCTTTGTTTACTGTGTTGTCTGTTCCATAAAGCTTTGTAAAACATACATAAACTCTAATGAGCAAATTAGCAAAGTTCTGGTTGAATTTTCACTTTTAAATTATGTTTCTGGGTAATCAGACTAGTTTTCAGAAGACTTGAAAAACATGGCTGTGAGTGTTATTGAAAATATAATGACACCAGCTATGATAAATTAAATACAGACCTGGAAGAAGAAGACTTAATCGTATCATTATTCTGAGGCTTGCCAGTGGGCCAAGTAGTGGTGTCCATTTTTGTGTACATTGATTATACATCTTAAATACATATACATGTAGTGAAAATTGATCGCTTTCCAACTACAGTCTTTTTACCAGAAGAATAATTGCATAGCTAGTAATAAGCACTAGACGTTTTACTTTTTAGGAAGCTAATTTTCTTTCAAGCAAAGATGCTATACAGTAACTCTGTTACGTTTTTCAACGAGTGTAGAATTGCAGTATAAGTTGCTTTTAATTTTTGTGCTGAAACTTGCTTCTGGGTCAGGTGGAACCATAAACTCTTTTTCACTGTTGGCTGGGTTGCTACTCCAGTAACTTCTGGATATTTTTGTCCTCAAGCTTTTACAGCTATGTACGAACATTCAAGGGGATTCATCTGAGCTAATATTTAAACTTTTGCTGTAATCAGTGAAGAGTCATTTATGCCATCCAAGAATAGAATTTAAAAAGAAATCACGTGGATTCTTCTCCACTGAGTACAAAGGAGGCCTGAGGAGAAAAGCTCAGCTGTAGATACCTGTATTGTAGGTACCCAAACTTACCTAGATTAATTCCACTCCTTCAGTACAATGCAGCTGAAGCAAATAAAACCATTAAAACAGGGGAAGTGTAGAAACGGCTCTGTTTCATCTCAGCTTCTGGATTTTAAGACCATAAATTGCATTAAGAATTAAAATAACCCCTTTAGATTTAGAGAAGGTTAAGCTAGTTTAAGAAGAGTAACCGAGGCAGACTGACTTTTCTAAAGGCCTCACAACTAGAAATTAGATTTCTTCCTCTCCAGATGAATAACATGGCTTCAAGGGTAGAAGGCTTGGAATTAAGATTGTTAGATGTGTATGCCTGGCAATACTAAAAGGATGAAGTCAGTAAAAGCAATACTCCTGGGTTATGGAATGCCATTTAGGGAACTGGGTAATGTCAGATGGCAGCCATGATCCAGAAGAAAAGCATGTATAGTGGCAAGTGTGTTAAATTATATAATTGGTACTCTAAAACTGCCACAAACCTGAAACAGTCCAAGTACTGAAATTTCTCATTTCTACAGAAACTATTGTGTGTACTTGATAACAGAAAATTAACCCAAGTTCTGTTTTCTATCAAAAACCTAGAAATAGCCAGTTGTAAATCTCGATGAGTGGTTGGTCATTGCAGTTACTAACAATATAGCATGTTGATGTTTTAGACCTACTGTGAATGTTTAGTTATGTTTTACTGTTCTAACAGATAACCTACCACGATGTGGTGCACTGGAGAGTTTGGTAAATGAAATGTCAGATGAAACATGGAATGAGCGGGCAGTGAATAGAGTCAGTGCAATTCGCTTCTTAGAAGATGAAAAAGATGAAGAGGATAATGAAATGGTATGTTTTCCAAGCCTCTGGATACCTACAGACATTATGACTTTAATGCCAAAGGGTAAAAAGTATCAGAGCATTATTGATGTAAATATTTCAGCTGTGACTGCATGCTTTTTTGCATAAGTTTGTAGCAGAAAATGTTCAGTGTTGATGGCTGAAAGTTTTCATATTGACTTAACGTGCTGCTTTTTAAAATTTTTTTTTAAATTTCTCCTTTGAGTATAACTTTAATGTTCTGATGTGGGACAGTCTTTGCTTTGCTTTGTTTTCTTGTGTCTGCTCAGGGTGTTTTCTTTCCAGAAACAAGATAGGATCTTTCTATGCATCTGTGAAGCTTTACTGCCTGAAAGTATATAGGGTCTAATTTAGTATTCCAGCACTCTGGCATGTGTCTCCATTAAGTTTGCCATTGTTTGTTTCTCTAATTTCTATTTCCAGTCACTTTCTTTCTCTCTCTATTTCTTCTTTTTTTTTTTTTTCCTTCACCATTTGCACTGAAATAACCATAGTGTCCATAAACAGCACATTGCTCATTACTTTCCCACTTAAACAAACGATGTGGGAACATCTGTCACTGTACTTATAAGACCTCTCCGTTAAGTTGCACTCTTGAATGTCCTGAAGATCAAAATGCAACGTGATCTTTAGCTTTACTAACTTTCATTAACAATTAAAACTTCTTGTAAAGATTAAGACTGCTTCAATCACATTTTTAGCATGTTTCTCTGATGCTCTAAAAACTTTCTGGTGGTCCTCATTAGAGCTCAGCTTGAGATACCTCAGTGCACTGACTGGATTGGAGCACACTAGAAGCATGGTCGAACTTTAAAAAGTGGCTATAAAAATTCTTAGCAGGAAAATTAACATTTACGTTTTTGGATAAGGTGGTTGCTTAATTCAAAGCAAATTCTCTGACAAGCGTGGTTTGTAGACTGACTGATAAGGGAGTACAGAATGATGCCTCTTAGCAACTGCACCAACCTGAGACTGTCCATACAATAATTAGGGCTCAAGTGTTAATAACTACTTTCAGTCATGGTGTTACAGCCTGACTTGAAGCAAGAACCTTTTTAGGGGGAAAAGAATTTTATGAGCCAACTGGGAAGGGCAGATTTCCAAAGCAGTCTTGACCAGTGCGCCCATTTATGGGTCATCAGCTCCACTGTAATCTGCACAGTTTACATGTGTACCACTGAAAAGTAACTGCATGTATATATGTATTGTGCTGATACATATTTGTGCAATTATTCTTGGTGTTCTGTTGGTCTCTAATTAGGATGCTTTACTTTTTGTAAATTTTGTTTTCCTTATAAAAGTTTCAGCACAATGATGTTAGACGTTCTTGTGTCTGAGATGGGAGAGAAATGGTCTCTCTTTTTCCTTTCAAGATATTTGTTCTCAATTGACAAGAGAACCAAACTGTGTGGTGGGGATGGAAGGCATGCAGAGCTCCACACAAACATGTATTTGACACTGTAAAGAGATTTTGTGGGATTCTTTCAAAAGCAGCTGAATGTTTTTTATTTGAAATGTGATCTTAAATTGCTTGGATGGGTTTTGGCGTAAAAACAAATTTCCAACTATATTTATGAAAGAATCTTCATAACTTATAATTGTACTTCACTTGAGTGGCTTTCAGATTAGTAGGTCAAGAAAGGAAAAAGTTTGCTCCTAGACAGTTCTGAAAACCTCTTTCACTGTCTTCATCAAGAGCACTGTAGTTTGAAAAGGAAAAGGGGGAAAAAAAGGAAAAATATCGATACCTGATATTTGGTATGTGAATGCTAAAGCCTGGAAAGTGTGTGTTATTCTTCGAAGAGACAAAGGCAAAACCACTTATTGCACTGTTTATTTTTAGAGAACACTTCTAAGGCGAGCCACTCCACACCCTGGAGAATTAAAGAACATGAAAAAGACAGTGGAGAATTTACGGAATGATATGAATGCTGCTAAAGGACTGGATTCAAACAAAAACGAGGTCAATAATGCCATTGACAGAGTGACCACTTCTGTGTAGAGTTTCATCTCCAGGTTTTACCTCCTGTGTCTTCCCCTGCTGTTGAAATGTTCCTGTTGTCTTCTGGGACCTCACTGAGCCCCTTTTTGTTTTTAACCAGAACCTGATTCATCATCTCATATATGTGAAAAGTGCTGCCCACTGGAAGAAAGTGCCTTATTTCATCCAGGCAGTGAAACAATAATTTCCAAATCAATATTGTAATTTTAATAGTGCTAGGCTTTTTAAAGTATAATACACTACTGTATGCAGAATACAATATTTTTGTCTTAAACACAGGGGAAATAATGCTTTTCTTTTCCAGAGTGCTGGGATATCTTTCCCAGTGGCTGGATGTGCTGGTGAGAAATATAGTTTTGTGGAAAATTGATACAGTTTTTTATTTTTTTGGCAGCTCAGATGGTGTAAATTTTAAATTTTTGTATAGGACTTTCATAAAAAATGATGTATTTCACTTTTAAAAGAAAATTTATCTTGAACGGTACATATTTTAGTATTTGTGGAAGAGAACAAGTTTCATGGACAACTGTATTCATTCGTTTGTACCACCCATTGTGCCTTACTGTGTCTTGTATGTCATATTAGTCTTAAATATAGCAATTATTGAGGAAAGTGAGTAGATTTAAACTTGGTCTCCTGTTTTAGACATGTTTTTCTTTTTGGACAGTAATTTGTTGGGATTTTTACAGCAGGAAATTTATGTTTATATAATGGGATTTTAGGTTGTGAAGCACAAATGTTAGTTTTGTTGTAAACACAGTTAAGATTAAAATGACCAAACTGCTATTGTTTATTACATGATGCACTCACACTTTAACTTAGTTGTAATGAAACATCTTGTTTTGGATGCCGTGTTGCATTGCAGTCACTAGAAATTCATGCTTCTGTTGTTTTTTAAAATGTGCCATCTGTAAAATAACTTGAAAAACAGCACGATAGACTCAGAAGCACAGTATGAAACTAGTTTTATGTGTTATCACCAGAAAGCGTGATTCTTTAAAGTGCTTTGGTGGTTTTATATAAATATATAAAACCATAATAAAAAAAAAAAATTAAAAGCTTCAGTAGATTTATTGTATCATTAAATAGCAATTAAAGTATATATGGATTAATACTGGAATTTACTATCATTGTTACTGTGTTGCACCTTCAGTGGCCCAATGCTGATTTCAAGGTCTTATTAAATCTATGGGTTCTGGTTTGTTTATAAAGGTAAGTATTAACTGAGTTGAATTCAGTAAATAAAACTTTTGCAAAAGGCTGATAAAGATTGATTTTGGTGTCTCTGGGTTCTGTATGTGCCACAAACTAACAAAGAGCACTGACTTGTTCAGTGTAGGGACTTGAGCAGTCTTGAGTTCAAAGATTTAACATACTTAGTGTGAGCTTATGCAATGAACCCAAATTTCAACAAAATGAAGGACCCAACACTTAATGCATGGCTAACCACGTCCTTTCTTCTGCTGAATGTTTCTTCCAATAAGCATTGTTTGTATGAGGGTTTCTGGGAGAAGATGGAGGAGGAGGAGATCAGGGAAGTTATATTAATAACTTGCAATATTCGATAACTTTTGTAATTTAACTTTTTGATTTGAACCTTTTATAAAAGGCACTGCTTTCTTTTTGATATTGAACAAGAAGGTATTACAAGTCATCTGCAAATATTTAAATCTAACCTGTCAAAATTAATTTTATTTATATTATTAATTTTTATGATTTCTTCTCATCCCAGATATTCCCCATTTAAGCTTCAGGCTTAACTTTGCCGAAGCTACTGCACGTTAATAGTGGAATTTCATTCTCCCCAAGGCAAAGTTCTGCCAGTTGGTCTTCATGTGCTGCTATTAAAATAAAACAGAAAGAAAATGAGGTTTTGGTACAGTTGACTCCAACGTTGGACAAAATTTGCTTTTTAAAGTACTTAGTGGGATTGACACAACAAAATCTTAAAAACATAGGAAACTCTGTACCCAGAGTCCAAGTAAATCTCAGCAAACCCATTTGAGATGAGAACGAATTCCTGAAAATGATGGACCAAAGCCAGAGGCAGCAAGACTCTGTGCTCTGTGATGACAGTTTGTCATTTGGAGGCTCTGGTTAGTTTTGTTTTTTAGCATCTTGCCTCTCCAATGGTCCGTGTGTGTGCCATTTCATAAAGCAGTTTAGGTACACTTGTCCTCCCAACAGCATTGATAAGATTCCAGGTGATTTTAACTGTATTTTATCGCCAGAAAAAGCTGGTGATGTTTGTTACGACAAAGCAGTGTGTGTCCTTGAAAGCGTGAGCCCTCCCTTCCTGGTCTCTGTCTGGCTCTTTTCTCTTGCTGGTGCTTTGAGGAGCCTGAGCAGTGAATATAATTTTGTAAACGTAACTTTTGGATGTTTTTCTCTTTTAACATCTTCTACTTTTTCAGCTGCTTTGTAAGTCTTTTGGGAACGGGTCTAATGCAAGGAAAGAGACAGTACAGAATTTACATGCTGCTGTTTTATTAGCTAAACAGGTAACCAGGGGAAAGCAATTGACCATAGTTCTGGAGTGGATTTAATATTAACCTGCCAGTTACTGCATAGGAGTTCTCTTTATTGAAAGTCACAATTCCATAGTCTTGAAGAGCAGAGTAAAAAAAAAAAAGCACTCTTGCTACCATTGTTAGCATAGCCACAGATTTTTCCATTCCGTCTGTGTTGCTCCAAGCTTCTTCCACAACTTCCATATAATTTATGTGTCAAGATTATTTTTCTGTCTTGCATGCCATATTTTTGATAATCAGCATATTGTGGGAAAGTGAGTACCGGAGACTTGCATACTGCTGTGTTTTCCAGCAAATGACTTGTTTGTGTCCAGGACAAGCTGATCAGCCTGCTTCTTGTCTAATATTAGTGCTTTACTAGTGTTGGGTGAACTGTTTTTAGCTGACTGGCTACTTAACAGGTTTCACTACTTGCTGCTCACGAATTCAGCTTTTAAGAGGAGACCAGTGACATGAGGAATTTAATTTTTTTTGAAAGTATATTCTTTAGTATATCAGTTGATCCTAGCCTGGCTGACTGTAAATGTCCCCCACTGAAACTGGAGCATGCTAATTATCAGAAATGACTAGACCATTTGTTAATGGAGAATTCACTGCCGTTCTTTGCCTTGTCTCCAGAAAATAAGTTTAATTTTTCAGTTGACTTGATAAAGGGTGTTTCCCATCTTCAGTTTCCATCAAACACACAAATCTCTTTCCGTGCTTAGGTTGCTGTCAAAGATGAGAAAAATCTTGACTATCAATAAACATTTTGAGTGTTTCCTTCCTCCTGAACCAATTGTGAAATTTTCAGAGGGACAGTGCCTTCCTCTTTCATTCTGAAGTCAGGAATATAATCAGTTTTCAGCCAGCTTAATGAAAAATGGGAGATTTTTCCAAGTGGAAAAGCATATACCTGGTTTGAGGACAGCTTTGTGAGCTGTCTTGCAGGAGCCATCTTCTCTTCTGGTGGATATTGGAGAGCTTGTGTGCTTTATCACATCTTGTATGCTTCTTGTGGCAACAGGACAGCCAGTCTTGGGCTTTGCCAGAGCAGAGGACTTGTAGGGGCTCGGTGTGTGTGGCTGGACTGTACCTTGTCCTAACTTCAGGAGCAAGGGTTCCTGGCAGTCTGGTTTTGAATTTGTAACTTGTTGAGGGTGTGCCTCTTAACACTGATGTTAGTCTATTAACACTGAGATCTTAAGCAGTAGTTTATGCAGATCTGTCCCAAAAAGTAGATCACTATTGTCCGTGGGAAGAACTTTGTGGCTCCTCAGCAGTGTTTTGGAGAAGAGATCTAGCAAATCTCCCTTGGTGTTAATGCTGGGAAGTGGACACCTGATGTCCAGTGAACTTTGACACTTTCTCTCTTCCTGCTCATCTGTTGCTGGAAAATGTTGTTTTGGCTGAAATCTCTGGATGTGCAGCTGGGGCATGATAACGGTCATACCCAAAATGTTAGTAGTGCTCGCTGTGCTAGGCAAGTACTAACTGTGGTGGCTTTCCTCAAAATTCACAGATGCATGTGCGGCTTGCACATACCACCAAAGCATCAACAGCTTGAATTTTGGTTTGTAAGCATCCCCAGAATAATACAGAGACAGGACTTAACTCTTCAAAGTTAGTTTTATGTTGGACTAAAACTATCTTCTTTTGGTCCTGAAGCAAATTCGAGCAAATTATGGGACTGTACTACTGATGTAAGCAGTTTGATTCTCAGATCTTTTCCAATAACATGCAAGTTTTACCCAAATCCAAAATAAGTGGGCTGCATTAAACCATTTTGAAGTAGCTCATAGGGAAACGATTGTCCTGTATTTCTGGAAGATTAAGCAACACACTACATGATTATAAATGTGAGTGCATTCCCTATAGTTTGTTGATGACATCATGGACTTCCACTAAGCAACATAAAACTGAACTAATGAGAAAAGTGATTGTTTGAATATTGATGATTTTTTTCCATTCAAAAGGGGAGAAAACTGCAAGTCTGAAAAGCATTTGCATAGTGGATGTTTTCAGGATAACCTACAGCATTTTTATTTTTTTTTAATGGTGTCTTCAAGAATTTAAAAAATCTTACCTGGCTAGGTAATACTTAAACATCTGAGCTTAAAATTAAGTCATGTATTTACTGCTAGCAAAGTTTCCTAATGGAAAGCTTGCTTCAATAATCTGTTCAGGCAGCTTTTATGTTGCCTCTTCTACAGTGGAAGCATATTCATGGATGCTTTTGATTTTGCAGCATTTTGTTTAGCTTTCATATTTCATGCAAATCACACACAGCTCTTTTTGAGACAGCCTTTTGTACTTTTAAAATAGTCTGAAATAGTTTTCGGTTAGTAGAATATGTTATGTATAGTTGTACTTAAAAGGAAGAGAATGTTTATATTCTAGGAAATACATCTTTAAAGACATTTTCTCATCTTTACTAATTAGTTAAGTTATTTAAACTTTTTTTTTTTTTTAATACAAAAATAAGGAAGAATGTGTGTTTGGGGTTTTGAGTTGAATATTAGTAGCAGACATACTACCATTGAAATATTGTAGGTAACTGGAAGCACTGGCTGCTACTTGCTGATGGTGGTGACCAGGCTGTTGCTGTAAGGCAGAGTGTTTCATTGTCACTGTATGGTTTCAGTATGGTACTTCAGAAATGGTAGGTGGTTTTCATGTCTTGGCTTTTAATGTTAGGGTGGTTTGGATTCTTTTTCATTTGTGAGAATGATTTAGAGTGGTACATAGCATTTGCACACCTTTGTTGCCTGGAGAAAATGAATTCTCTAGAGGATTTATTAGTGAGATCTTATCAGAATAGACACCTTGTACTTTATGAGAACAATTTGTCCTCTTTAACATACAGGGGTACGATACAGAGGAGTGTATATGTTCTGAAGAGACTACCTCTGAAAACTTGAAAAACATGTTGAAAGGAGTTAAAAAGGGAGCCCGCCTGACTTGCTGGTGAAATATTGACGGAAAATGATCTTTTACTAGTCAGTTAGGATCATTACTAATGAAGGGAGATGAAACATGTATTTCCATGAAACATAGCTGCTGAGGCTGATAGTTTTTCCCTCCAAACACCGCTTCTGCATTTACAAAACAACAGTCTTACATACACTCCAAATACCCATGAAGCTTGAAGTCATAAATACCGGATTCACTTTCTACCTTTGTTTTATTCCAGATATTTTTAAGAGAATGTAAATCTATGTGCTTCATTCTGTGTTTGCTCCTAATGACTTAAAACATTGACCTCTAATAACCTTTTTGGGTCTCAGCTTCCCCATGTATAAAACACAAGAAGAAACTTCCTACCTTATTTGGGTAGTAAAAAGAGCAATTATAACTGTAGAATTCTGTAAGGAGAACTGATTTTTCTCTCTTAACATTAGGATATTTGCCAGTAGCCTCTTTTGTATATTTTGTATTGTATACAGTATTTAGTATAATGAGAATGAGCTAATAAATACTGGATGGTTTTTAAGATAGCTTTATGTTTGAAGTACAAACGTACTGTGTTAGCTGAACTGTAGTGATTTCCACCATTGAGGGGTAATGGAAGCTTATTGCCCATCTAATGCAATTTTCATTAATATATTAAACAGTTTTATTTTGGGGAGAGGAAACAAAATCCAGTAAAAAAATCAGATTGAGTGGTCACTTTGCATTATACCACAGCAAACAGAGCTATACCTTCCATCTCTTCCTTGTAGCAAACTCTGCATGTGACTGGCCTCACTAAGAACTCGCAGGGTTGTGTAACACCTTGGCCACTTTGACTTTGTCCAAAAGGATGCCAAGAGCTGGGCATGGTAACACCCTGGCAGCCAGTGGCTCCAGCAACAGCATCCCTGGCATTCTCTGTTCCTCACTTTATATTGCTACTGAACTCTGGATTAGAAGTCCACTATCTTCTTATTTCCACCCCCTTTCATCAAAAAGGATGCAAGTTGTAAAAAATGATTAAGATTTGTTTTCAAAGTAATGTTCACCTGCACTCACAGCAGCAGCATTCATTGGCTTTGTTTCTCCATTTTACTTCATGAAAACATAATCCATGGGCTGTTTTGCTTACAACAGGTATGTGCAAATGTAGGCTAAAAGGCAATTCTGGTTGTTCCAGTCAATCTTTCGCTGTTGATATAACCAAGCTGTGAAACTGCTTTCATAAAGAATGCTATCCACAGTATTGTGTAAGCCTAGTGAAAACATGAACAGCTGTTACCCAGAACTGTCATTTTGTTTCTATTTTACTTTAATGTGCTATAGATCAAGAATATTGAAAACTAAAATCTCTTAGGTTATGGAAGGTGTGAGGTGTGAAACATACTGATTTTCCCTTGTATCTGTATGTCAGCATGAGGAAGAGCATCCTGCTGTAGGAAAAGACAAGGCAGGGCGCAGGGGTGCCTTGCAGCTCTGCCTTCCCAGCTCGGCTGCGAGTGCCATAGGGATGTAAAATCTGATGGACATCAGCTTTCTCCTTGTGCATACTGGAGGCTACCACAGCTGTTGAATGTGTGTCTAAGATGGTGAAGTGATTGTCAGCATAAGCTTTATTTTAAATCTATATCTGTTACCTTGAGAGAATAGCCTTTTACTGGTCTTACAGAATTTGGCAGGCTGGATTTGAAAAGCTGTTTTTTAGTGCTACAGATCAGGGTCAAACAAGGATGAGACATTCCCTTCGAAGAAATTAAATGCTTCTCTGTACCTGTGCTTATTTTTAGTGTGAAATTACTTCATGACTTCCTAATGAGCTTAAAAGTTGACAAGGATTTAAACTGTGTCTGGAAATACCCTGAACATTGGGAGGTGTCCCATTAGCTATTCTGAAATAAAACAGACCCAAACAGTAGCAAACAATTTCAGTTAGTGTTCTATTTACCTCTCTGATTAGAATTGCTATCCACCTAGTTAATATTCATAGGAAACAAAGCTTCTATTTAAGGGTGCCTGTGGGAGTGTCAGCCCTGCGCAGCTGTGGGAGATTCAGTATGTTGAGAGGCAAGTCAGCATCGGCCTGTCAGCTCTGCGCAGGTCTGGAGAAGCAGCAAGGCTTTGATGAGAAACAGGTCTTGGAAGAAAGATCAGAAACTGCCAGACTGCTAAGGTGGCAGGAAGAATGGACAGCTGCAAGGCTGAGCTGTGGAAATGTACTGTGGAGAGAGGGTTGATGGCTGTCTAGTTGCTGATTTGCTTGTTATGAAGTAAGAGCTTGAACGAGAGCATAAGTATGTACTATTGTAAGAAGAAGAGAGAAAAAAAAGAATAAACTGCCCCTGCCCTGCAGAAAGAAGAAAGAATACTTTGACTTGTGATTCTGGCCGCTACAGGTGCCCAGCATTTCCTTATTCAAGGCACATGTAAAGGAATACCAGGAGATACGCTGCCTTGCATTTTGAATTGTCTGAAGGAATGGGAGCCACGATGTTCTGATTGATTGTGCTGCTTTTGCATTCGATTCACTGATGAACTAAATTGACAATTGTCTTGAGTGTCCTGAGTGACCTGGTTTAGAATATCCAGAAATATGGGTATTTATCAGCAAACAGAGGTTTTACTGAGTGTCAGTGCAGTTCAAAATGTACTTTAACAGCAAATTTCCTATAGAGGCCAATCATGCCTTCAGTGTACAATGCAAATGATCCTTTTTTGGGGCTATGACCTTTTCAGGACTCACAGAAAAGTCTATACTCTTTCAGACAAGACACTGACATATTGTTCTTGTCCATTTCCTAGTCTTTTCAGCCATCCTAAAACCAAAAGCAAATGAAGAATCCCAAGGGGAGTTCCTTTGAGCTGAAGATGAATCAGTATGTCCAGCATGGACAGTCTTGTCCTATGTCCTTTTCTTTCTCAACCTTATATCTAAACAAGATGGTGCCACCTGGGTGCTGCTAACAGCAAGAAATATGTGTGTGTGAACATAACCATTCTGCATTAAAAGGGAAAATGGAAGCTTTAAGAATTGTTAAATCTGAATCAAATATCTGTGTTTAAACAATGTGTAAGTCACTGTGTGCTGCTGATTGCCCACCTTAAGCTTGCTGATAATTTTTTCATTAGTTTCTATTCTCCATCTCTTCGCCTTGTTGGAATATGTATGTTAATGAATCTGTTTATATGGCATCAGGTTGCTTTCTGCCATTAGATTTTTATCCCATAAGAAAATTTAAAGGCAAGATTTAAATAAAACTTAAAGGTAAAGGTTACTTTGAAAAATTACTTCTGAAGTTCAGTGAAATTAAGGTATATAGGCAACCCTGTGACACAGCTTGTCATGTATGAACTTCTGTGTATGAAGAAAAGTGGAATTTTTTGGATGTAGATAAGTAATGGACATTTTTGGAAAACTGGACTATAATTACTTTGAAAATCAGCAAACCTGAAAAGATCAATTTAGTACTATACTTTCTATTGGGACCATTCAACAAATGGAACATTTTAGTCAATGAATAATGAAAAGAGAGGGGTAACTTGGTAGGCTTTTTTAACTCAGGTTGAAATGAGATGGTCACTAAAGGTCTAAGTACTCTTGTTTGTTTTCTTAATAGTACAGAGTTTAACATTATTGAAGACTTGTTGATCATTAATTCTTCTTTACGATGCTGAAGGTGGGCTTGGTTCCACGCTCATGTAAGTCCTTGAAGGCTTCCACTAATTTCAGCAGCCTTCGCTTGCTCTTTGTATCACCAGTATTGCCCATTAACTGGCAAAGTGCCTCTGGGACTGAAGGTACCTCTCAAGGTAAAAAGGGGAAACCCAGTAATTTCAAGATACTAACTTAACCTTGCAGAACTTGCCAGACAATTTCTGCACATACATATTTCAATCACTTTCTTAAAATCTGTTCATTACCTTTTGGTTTTTTGTCATCTTCCTCTCAGGACTCTATTAAGTGGCTTCCCAAGTCTCCTAAACTGTACAGTGGCCATAACTGGAACTCCCAGGGCTCTCGCTGGGCCTTGTTGAAAGGAAAGGAAAGTATTCATGGTGATAACCTGTACAAATTCAGCTCTGCTAATGGAAAATGGAGGGAAGGAAGGATCAGTCCTGAGCAAGAAGCAGAAGAACTGGAGGATCCTGATGATGTAGGTAGTCTCCTTGAAGTCAGGAGAGACAAGTCAAGAAACTACAATCTGCTTGCAGTGCTATGTTACTGAGCACTTTGGGTTAATGGGACGCTGCACTGCCTGTAGTTTCACATCCTTGCTTGTGCAGAGGGTACAGAATCGTGTTCAATGTTTCATTCCTTTACTTGCTTGCAGTTGAACAATCCATCCAACCCCCCAAGAGTACAGTGCAACTTGCAAGTGGAGTAACCTGAGCAGTGATGAGATATGGGTTTTATTTTACTCTTACCTAGATCCCCAGTTAACTAGACCCCTTCATCTCTTTGAAGTAAGTAGGTTGTTGGCAGTGCTTGAAGCTTGGTGTCTCCCAGGAACTGCATGGTAGAAAAATGAAGTTGCAGTGTTCTTCCATTACATGTTTGGTTTTGGGTAGTGCTTTTCCAGGATGCTGACATCTGGGAAACCTTGGATTCTGTGGTTTCTCTAGCCTGTGTCCACCAGGTGTCTTGTCACCTGGGCAGCAGCTTGACTGTCTTCTTGGTCATGGCCTGGGAAAAGGAGGTTGTGATTGCACTTTTTCAGCCTTTTTCTTTCAGGGCATTGCTCACCAGATGTTTGCTGGGAGTTGGAGATATAGGGGCTCCTGCTCCTCTGCCAGGACCTCCACTCCCTTCCTAGCTCCCAACTGCTGCTGGTATGCCCTCTCCTCCACCCCCCACTCCCAGCTCTTGCTCCCAGCCTTTCTCCCCAACACCCATGGCACCCCAGCACTGCTGATGGGTCCAGGTTAGTCAGCCTGGTGCTGTTAAAGGGGAATCTATCTCAAGAGAACAAAGATAACGAATGTTTTATGTGAGTTAAAGCTAAACAAATTCCCTTTTAATTTTAAGCAAAAAAAGGAAGCAGTCATGCCTTGCTTGTTCTCCCCAGGGTTGGCAATGATTCATTCCATCCCAACCAAAAAGAGATTGTGGTAAAACTCAGGTACAGATTGAAAAATAAAGTGTCCAGTGGGGTTTCTGTACAGAAATGGTAATATCACTGCTTTTTATTTCTGGTATAAAACTTCCAATCTTAGGAAGGCATTTAGGGGGTTTATTTTCAAAAGTGTTGACCTTTGTTCGCTGTATCATTCTACTGCCAACAGAAGATACAAAGATTATGGTAATATGAAGATCTGATTCAACCTTACCCATCAAATTAAGGAGCAAAAAATCAGCTAAATATAAATAAAGCATCCATAAAATGTGAACAGAATTTGAACATCATGTCTGAATTTAATTTAACGAGTTTGCCACACATAACTGATAACCGGAAAATGTCATTGTGTCTTTCAGTCAAACTTGTCTGAAGCTTTGTTTGGTGGATGTGCTTTAATTACATATTTTTCTTTTAAGCCCTTGTGGTTTAGCTAAGCATAGGGTGACATTGTCAGTTCCTCACTGCATCTTGGAGTAGGTACAGCCTAGAGCCAGGCTTCAAAACAGGCTTTGGAATGCCTCACCTTTAAGGTGTACTTCATTTGGACCCCTATATCATTAAGTTCGCATGTCTCCACTCACTGCCATTTGCAGCTAAATATTGTTAATCCAATTACTTAAACTAAATCTTCTCTTAAAGATGTAGATGAAAGGTAGGGACCTGCCTTCCCTCTCACACCTGTGCTCCTGAAAATAGAACATAGGCCTTGAGGAACTATGAGAAATGTTTTATTTTCTGTATAGAAAGCCCTTTCCTTTGCCTCATGTGTGGTTCCTTGCCCTGAGACAACAGATTCAGTGCTCCTGAGCTGCCAGAGGCTGCCCATAATAGTCTCATTCTCATGCTCCATCCTTTTTATAGGGCACTGCAGGGTTTAGTTGGGTATGTGTGTGTTATATGTGCCTGTGTGTGCCAGGGGATCTGGAGATGCTGTATGAATCCCAATCCTCTTCTTGTTCTCAAAATTTCCACCCCCATGTGAGGGAAAACCATGCCCAGAGAAATAATGGTAAAAGAAAGATACTTGGACATTAGCTTTAAAGTTGCAGTTTTGTCTTCATTGAAACAAATCCTAATGTACAACAATGTGATAGAGAGGAACAAATCCACTTTACCACAGGTAGGGTCTGGATATCAGATAGGTATTCTCCTTGCTGTCATTATGTTTACCTTTTTTATCTTTAACCCCCAGGAGCCTATTTCCAAGTTTTCCGGCAGCCTTTTTGATACCGATGATAGTATGAGAGATCAAAGAAACACCAGAACAGCTCTTCAAGAAAAGCACAAGTCAGCAATGAAGGGGAAGACGCTTCCAGGGACTAACACTAAGGTGCAGCCACCTGTCTTGGCGGTGGGCAGCTTCCCTGGCGAGAGCAGCCGGATCCTGGAGGAATCGAGGATGATGGATGTGCCGCAGCCCCCGCTGAAGGTATTGGACTGCTGCATGGGCTGGGCTTGCCGATGGGTGGCCTTCGCTTGTCCATGAGGATGTCTGTGTGTCCGTGGGGAAGTCTGCTTCTTGTGAAAGGCAGTTTATAAAAAAAACCCAAAACTTTCTTTGTAGCCATTCAATACTGTCTCATTTTATATATCCAGCTTTGGCATTGTAAGGGCAAGCCAAGGGTGTGTGCAGGTGGGCACTCAGCTGAGTCTTCACCTAATCCATGGTTTAGGAGCAGTGGCATGGCCTTACCCTCAGGGCATGAGAAAGCCTCCGTCCCTTGAAAAATGAAAACTTATCAGCAAGGACTGCAAGATTTGGGCTGAAGTTTATGGAGAAAGCTCTGCTCTGAACTCAGTGGATATATCCGGTCTTGGCATGCTTTGGAGCACATGTGGAGGAAACATGCTTTATGGGTTGGCTCCCAGGGTGGGCCAGTACGGATCACACCTCTGCTGACCACCCATGGGGTGGGAAATGCAGAATTGTGCTGCATCCCCAGGGTCGTGGGGTGCAGTGCCAGGAAGGGCAGCTCACCTGGTGTGACACCATGCTGGGACCGGTCACCAAAGCATTGCTGGTGATGATGGGCTTGTGAAGTCTTGAGCATGTGGCTAATGCAACATTTAGCAGGGTGGTTTTCATCAGACAGATAGGGTATTTTCATACCTTTTTAGGAATTTGAGATGAACATGTTATATGTGCAAGAGTAGCTGCATACATATGTTAAATTCTGAAATGCAGCTGTGTTGAAATATTCTTAATTATAAAATATAATGGGTTACTCAATTCTGAATTGTCTTAGTGATATGAAGCAAATCAGTGAAAATAAGAGCATTTTGCTAATGTGATAAGGTAAATTGCAGTTTGCATTCAGATTCCACTACAGTATAGCAAGGTGTTCTGTAAATTCAATGTGATTGTTTTTTTAGTAATTAGCAAATTTTTACTTACTACCAAGCATATTATATACTAAAAAAAAACCCCAAACACAAAAACCAACAACAGGGGGGAATAGTTCTTAAATGTAAGCTGTCTTTGGAACTTGAAGCTAATTTTATTTGCCCTTTGTTGTGAATTCTGTAAATTCAAAATGTTATCTAAGATTTTGTACAGAGTTTTTACTGATACCAGCAGGAGGAGAATAAACTAGATAGATGACAATTCATGCTGCTTTTTTAAAAGCTTCCTGATATTTTTACTTTTAAGTCAATGCTTAGAGTAGTGTTAAATCTTTTGATGGAGTTAACACATACATACAGAAAGCCTGTTTAAAGAAAATTACTGTAATAGTGCTCAAATTCAGTTATCTGTTCTCAAAAGAGTTGAGAGTAAGCAAATCAGACTGTAGATGAGGTTCCAAAGTAAAGGTTTTTAATGAACTTACCAGAAATATTTACTTTTACACTCCTCCTGTGTACTGGCATTGTTGCCATTGTGAATGCTCAGTAAATTGGTGGGTTTTATGAAACAACTGATTTGGTCAGCAGCCTTATAAACAGCCTTATAGGGTTTTGGCATGACTCTAAAACCTGGAGAAGTAATGTGTTCTTGGTGTTATTGAAGAGTAGAGACTGGTCTTGCATGTGCCAGTGCATAGCACTATTTTTCTCTGAGCTGAGCTCTTAGAGGGGCAAATCTGCTGGTGTTCAGAGTGGGAGGTAGGTTTTCATTGGTCATGTAATTAATAGGCAATGTTTTTGATTAATCAGGCCACTTACCCATTATAATTCTTTTCCAGATAACCATTACTGTGTGCAGTCAAATGGGGAGTCTTGGTATTAGCATTGCTGGTGGAAAGGGCTCATCTCCATGTAAAGACAATGATGAGGTGCATTTCATTACTCAAAATTTATCTAGTAATCATTAGAAAGAAACTGATGAGCAGTTCTTTGAAGCTGTTGTGTTTTGTTGTTTTCTTTCTGAGGTTGTTCTCAATTTAACATCACTGTCTTCATAATAAAGCTAACAAGGATACACATGGTACTTATTTCCCAAAGTAGAAGCTGGCAGTAGATGGGGAAGCTCCTGGAGGGAAGATTTTGGAGATAAAACCTGATGTAAACCAGTGATTTTTCCAAAGACAACCTGATGGCTGAAAAACCTTTGACTAGTTTCCAAGTTCTACCTTATTTTGGGGTCACTCCCTTGGCAATCCACATGCCTCTCCCATCCCATTTGCTCATTCCCAGGAGCCAACTTGATTTGAGAAGTATTTCTCACATCTTCTCACTTAATTATCATTTAAATAAATCTTTGTTTCCCAGTCTGTCGTCCCCCATGGCACAGTTTAACAATTAATGACTTCTGTTCATTGTGTGTGTCAGCCATGGAGGCTTTTTTTTTTTTTATTTCTTGCTAATGTGCTAAGACATTTAGTTTTTATTTTAATAGAGGCAACAGAACAAGTCTTGAAAATTAATTACTTCCTATTTGCCTTTTTTATCTAAGAACAATGAAAGAAACCTTGTTAGGTCTGAAACCTGTCTTTTGTGTTACCAGGGGATCATGACCGCACAGCTGCCTAAAGATGGTCCAGCAGACTTGGCTGGGATACAAGCAGGAGACAGAGTGGCAGAGGTAGATGGGTTGTGTTCTTTTGTTGTTATCTTTAAATCTAATCACTCAAGAGTTAGGGAATTTGAGATCATGACCTAAGCTTGCCTTAGCTTTTTAGATATTTCCCAAACTACATTATAAAAAAATTATAATGACATTAAATTGTAGCATTCCTTCTATTATATTCAGGTTTTCAGATCTTTCTGTTCAAGGTGCTTAACAAAATATTACTTACTTAAGTGGTTGATTCGTCAAGGAAAATAATGGTCTTGGCAAGTAGTTATGATAGCACAGCTGCAGTTGTACTTGGTTCAAGAAGCTTTCCTATGACATTGTATTAGATTTACTATATGAGTTCATTGCAGTTGTTACAAATAAATATAAACTAGAGGAGCTTATTTCTCCAAGGTAATTTTTAGTTGAGAGAGAACAGCTCAAAGTAACTCCCCTGATGGAGGCTTACAGTGCCAAGGATTAAATGTGTGTCTAGGGCTGCTCCACCTGAATCCTCATTTTCCTAGCAGAAGCCACTCTCTTGATCTTCAAGACGTTCCCAAGAGCAGTGGTGATCATGTACAGTTTTGTGATATTTTTGACCTACTGTTTAATTTCCAGCTGCTGAAAAAGGTAGAGTGGGAGGAGAGCCTCTACAAAACTATTTTGAGATGAAACTGGTCCATAGTTTTTTTTTCAACTCTTGGTTTTTTAAACTGTCATTTATACTTGCCTGAATTAATAGTTCTTCATCTAGCATACTCCCTGTTGAATTAAGGTAGGATAGAGCAAGCAATACTGTATGTCTATTAAATTGCTAGGAATAAGGATACAACCTGTATCAGCCAAAGACAAATTAATGATAAATTAATCTACTGATTTTGCAAAACTATGCTATAGAATTGTTAATAGAGGATTGTGTTCCACAAGACATGTATGAGTGTTAGTTTAACATTTTTTAAAAGGTTAATTATGGATAAAATTCTGTATCATTTTACCTTTTTTATTTTATGAAAGGATTATCCTTATCTAATTTTTGTATTTTAACATGTGTGAGAGAATTTTAAATAATTCTTTATATATTTCACATTATTAGATCATTAGGGAAAAGAAACCAGGATTTTTAGTTGCTGTACCTTTAACTTTTGAGCAGAGTTTCTGATAAAGTCATTATCTTAAAAATCAACTACTCTGCTCAGTTTCCTCCGTGAGCCTATAATTTATTCTTATTTTTGGGGCTATTTGAAATATATTAGCTACTAATGTCTGTTCATTTAATGAATAGTGAAACCAGTAAGAAAGAGAAGAAATCTGTGTTCCATAGTGTTCTGTCCTGGTGGCGTTATCCCACAAATAGTTATGATTTCTCTGTCTCCCACAAGATGGCAGAATCATTCATCTGTTTAAAGAACATAGAAAAAAAAATCTCTTGCTTTTTGTATGTGTGGGAGATGAGAAGGAATTAATGCATTCATCTGTGCTATAGGAGTCCTAATGTTTTGACCTCAAGACTAATATATGTACAAATAACCAGCATTTTTCTCTTAATACTGTGTATTATAACTTCTTATTCTTGAACTGACTGTTCAGCAGTTCAAATATATAGTATGTTCATCAAAAATGGGGAACAGCAAGAACTGCAATTTTATTTGCTTTTGTTGTTGCAACCATATATAACGATAGGGCCAAGCATTTGTATACTTACTTGAGAGGGAGAGAACTGATCTTCTTAAGCAGCATTCAGAATAAAAATAAATGTTTCTGCTGCTTTGTTTTTAAAGGTATCCCTCGTTTCAGAACCCAATGCCCTTGATGCTGGTCCTGCAGAAGTTTCATCCAAGGGCAGCCCCTTCCCAACAGTAAACCACGTCATAAAAGTAAGTAAGATGTCCCCAGTGAGTAACAAATCATTCTTAGCAAAGTACTTTGTGTTGTCTGTCATTAATGATAGTAAAGATGGTGAAGACTGGCACAAAATTTGTGAGTGGCTGCACAAGAGGAGAACATGTACCAAAGATCAGTGACCCCACCATGCGTTTACTTGACTATTGCTGCAGCTGGGACGTGGCTCCTGGATAAGCATCAGTGCAGCAGACCACAGCTTTTGAAGCACTGTGGTTTGGGGGCTGTAAGAGTGGTGTCCATTCCCCACAGCTTAAGTGTTTATTCTGTTGTCTGGACTCTTTCCCAAGCTAATGGAAGGAGCAGCATCTCCAGGGTGCCTCTTTTAGGAGGAAGAGGTTGAGCTGCTACCTAGAAGTGACCATTTTTTGTCTTTTGATTCAAAGGGGAACTTGAGTGACAGGCTAAGACTGCACGCCCATATTTTAGGTGGCTGATGTCAGATGACACGCATCACAAAAGGAAATGGCCAAGCCTGCAGGGTGGCTTTTAGAAATCTGACCCACTTTTGTGAATTTTTCTGAAAAATTCAACCCTCTGAAGACCTACCTCAATCATGGCCATCTGCCTGCACACTTGAGGTTATGACTTTACTAGGAAGATACAATAAGATCGAGGTATCTGAATGGTTAAGGTCAAAAAGCATCCTACTCATATTAAACCTGAAATACCAGGAAACAACAACTGTTTCTCCTACAGCAAATGCCAAAGGAATGCTTTATTTGATTCCTCTTCCTCCAGCCTTTTCCAGCTTTCCAGCCTATCTTCTTTCAGAAATACCATTCACAACCCAGCTAATGGCAAAAATTGAAAGTTCATCTATTATATAAAAGACTGTCATCAAAGACCACATTCAGTTTTTATTAACCACTCACATTTTTTAAAATAATATGATTTGTTAGTGTGATGGTTTGACTGGCTAAATGCCAGGTATCCACCAAGTCGCTCTATCACTTCCCCCCCCCCCTTTTCCCCTTGTTTTCTCAATAGGGTAAAGAGGGGAAAGAAGATAAACTAACCCTTGTGGGTGAAACAAAAGCAGTTTTAATATAAGCAAGGCAAAGCAAAAGTCCGCGCGCGGAAGCAAAAGCAAACAGATTTAGTCTCTACTTCCCATGGACAGGCGATGTCAGGCCTTCTCAGGAAGCAGGGGGCTCCAATACACGTAGTGGTTGCTTCAGAGGACCAAGGATGACCCCCACCCCCTTCCTCCTTTCTCCCAGCTTTATACTGAGCAAACGTCATATGGTCTGGAATATCCCTTTGGTCGGTTTGGGTCAGCTGTCCTGGCTGTGTCCCCTCCCAAGATCTTGCCCACCCCGTCCCACTGGGGGAAATATCAGAAAAAGCCTTGGTGCTGTGTAAGCACTGCTCAGCAGTAGCCACAACACCAGGGTGCTATCAACACCCTGCCAGCTCCCAGCATAAAACACAGCACCGTGAGGGCTGCTGTAGGGGAAAAACAATTCCAGTTCAGCCAGACCCAGTACAGTTAGTTGGCTGAAAAATAAGCAAATGGACCATGCAAATGTGGTTTCCTATGTGGATTACTATTTATGAAGGGCTGAGCTTCAGCTTTTGTCTATGAGACAGACTAACAAAGGTTTTGTTGTATATTCAGTTGCTTAAATAAATTTATTTTGAGGACTCCCGTCTCCAACACCATCTTGTGAAACATTTAGACCAGTTTTATTTTCCAGTTGAAAACACTTCCACAATTTTTTTTTTCCAGCTCTACTTGGTAGGTGTTTCTTACAGTCTTAACCCACATTGCAGGAAGCACGAGGCTTCCTGTTAGTGGAACCACTGTTGAAAGGGTTGATTCACACATTGCTAGTGGCCTGCATCTGTTGCAGTAGTATCTGACTTCTAGTGTTTTCAGTCAAAAAGAAGAAATGACCATTTTTTATATTATATGCCTCTTGGAAAATAATGCCCCCCTTTAAAGTTCTTAAGCTGCAAGGGGAGGAGGAGGCACATTAGACCAAGCTACTTACCTTAGAGCATGGTGTACAGAGGGAGTCAACTGGCTGAATATGTTCCAAGTGTCAAAAGTAGTCAGTGTGCAAGTTCTGTCATGGAGGAACATTTGTATTTCTGGTTTTGTTTCTTTGGAAAATCAAAATCTTTGTGCTGTAGCAAACTGTGTATGTTACTGCCTTTAACTTAGAGCAGCATTCGTCAATCTTAGGGTTTATGGGCTTTTGAGGAGTATCCTGCTGATTCAGCAACCAGTTAGTATCTTATCTGCTCTTGCTCTGGGTTTACTCTGGTGAAGTTCCTCTTACTTCTCAGTAACTGTCTTACCTGAAAAATATTTACAGCCTGGCTTCTTATGGAGGACATGCTTTGCATGTTCAGATAAGCAGATGGCAGTAGGACCTTAAAGTAGAATCTTCTTCTTTGCTAGGAATCTAGGAAGGTTTGTTTCCTTCATATTTCTGACTAGATTTCAAGAGAAGATGTGTGCTTCTGTATCAAGGGAGGGAAGGAGAGAAGCAAGGTGGCAAAAAATGTAAAGACTCCTATTATTCTTCCTGCAAAGCTGAATTATAGGCTAGATGATGACCATCTTCCTTCTGCTTCTCTTCCATGTCATCACTGCTTCCTGCCCTCCAGAAGAGACTCTCTTTTCATTTTTATTTATTTTTACTGAATTTTAATAAACTTACTCTTCATATATGCTATTAGTGATAATATTTCTCTTACTTGCTAACCATAGCCCTCTAGCCATCTCTTGCCATCACCCATCCTGTCTCTGAGCCTGGTGCTCTGACATTACAAAGGGTGATGCTGCTGCCAGATTCAGGTTTGCTCTCTGTTCTTCATGGGCCCGATTGCTCTAACTTATTCTAAAAGGCTCATTTGAATTGTTAACTCATCTAGCCAAACTCAATTTCAAGTCCTTTGTGCCAGCTTTAAGATGACAGTGTGAATGACCAGTAATTAATTGGACAAACGATGAGAAGTTCTTTCACTCTGAGTCAATGTTTTGCAAAGGAGAAATGAGAATTGCCTGTGGTTTTGATTATGGTTGAGTATTTTATTGAAGTGTAGAGGTCCCAGAACTTTAATTACAATGAGATACTTTTTTACATACTATATTTTAGACTTGTCTTAGCTATGTTAGTCACACCTCAAAAATATGGAATCTGTTTATTTGACTTTGATTAATATGTATATATCAAAATAAAAATACTTTAATTGAACTGAAACCAAGTCTTTGGATTTTAAAATGGTAATCTTAAAATAAAGAAATCTATGTAAAGTTGTGCATCTTAATATAACAGATTAGAACCACAACTGGTATGGCTATCTACATGTAGATTGTGTGTAAAATATTGAATGTCTAACTACAGGGAGAAAAAAAAAATAATCAGGGAACAAACATTTCCAATAGTGCCCCATGCTGACTTTAACTGAAGAAACTTTAATTTAGAATCTGGAGTCTTTATTTCCACTTCTCTATATTTCTGTCTTCTGCCCTGTGCTCCTTATTTTCTACTCATCCTCTCTGACATAGAACCAACTCTGCACAATCTTTCTCCATTAAAAATATTTTCATTCCAGCTCAGACTGAAACTCCCAGTGGATTTTGTCTGACTGAATGGAAAGTGTTGACAGGTTTCAGCATCTTCTATCACCTCATTATGTGCATCACCACATCATCTTCTTTGATCCATTTTTGGGGCTATCAATATCATGAGGATATTAAATACTTTGTAATTAAAATATTTTTAATCTCTTAAAAATTTTAGTCTAGTACTTCACTTTAATTCTTACCATTTTATTTTCTTTAATTGTATGCCTTTGCCCTGGGAATTTCCTCAATTAATTTTTTTCACCAAGTGTACAAGTGTACTTATAATGAAAATTTTCAAGTAAGTTTAAAGTAAGAGTTAACAATTAAAAGTGATTGTGTAAAAGAAACTTACAATATTGGAAAAATCTGAATAACTTCTCCAAGCTGATAAAACCAAATGTTTTGGTTGCTCTGTTAAAAATGCAAAGATATAGAATGTTCCTAAATATGGTGAGAAAGCAGACAGCTTCAGTGTACTAGAACTTGTGATGCAGATGAAAGTGAAATGCTCCTGTGCCTGTAGAAAGTGAATAAACATATATACTGTGCTCCCACAATACATAGGTTGCTGGTTTTCTGCCTTTCTCCCTCCATGTTTAGATGCAAGTCATGAGAAACCTTACATGGACGAGAGTCACAGCAGATCTGTCTTAATTTCCAGCTGATACAGATTTTTCAGGAAAAACTCTTGATGCACTTTATACCAGTTAAAAATCTTATCAAACCCTTTATTCATCTGAGCAGGTTAGTTCTAGCCATGTTAGAAAATTGTAATCACACAACTTAAACATAGTAAAACTTTTTTCTTGTTTCTTTAGTCATGGTCTTACTTCTTCCAATTTTAAAAGCAAAACCAGTAGAACACTCAGGTCAGAGAAGCACTATAAAAGAAGATAACTAAAGTGGGATTCAGAATGTCACTGTCATCATCAAAGACAGATTTCTTCTGAAACTCGTTTCAAACAGTAACGACCTTGCTCACAGACAGTGTTTGCTTGACCTGTTCCCATAACTCCATATGACCTAATATTTCAGTCTTCCAAGTTTTTTTTAATGAAGAACTGCTTTGTCTTCTCTAAAACATTTTCATGACTCTTAATCTTGTCAGGTAAGGGTGTTGGTATTTTTGTATTATTATTTTTTTTATTTTGACAAGGTATGTTAGTTTTTAGATGTCAGGAGTCTGACTTCTCACTGCCTTGCATCTTGTGTAGGTTTATACACACTTGTGAAGAAGCTCATGCACAACCTTGGTGGCTTAACTAACCCTGTACTGATCATGTGAGCTTCAGCAGAGTGTAAGCACCCATCTGCCATGTGATCTTCTCCATTTCATCTGCTAGTTTGATGCCGCTTTTATCTAAGTAACTCAGTATTTCTGAGTCAGGATAA